TGTAAGCAGATCACTCCAACATCTTCCATCTCCTCTCACTTTAAAGCAGCTTTTTGCCTCTGTAATCCCGTGTGATTTACAGTCACCCCGTGAGCGTGTCTGTGCTGAATAATGCCACCGAACGACGGGCAGACCTCGGCCCGTTTGGCGTGGTGGTGGCCGGAGCCTGGTACGGGGAGTGTGCAGAGCACGGTGAGGTAATAGCTCCCCTCTTGGCCTTTCTTACTGTCAACTAAAGTGAGGAAAGGCAGGCCGACACTTGGATGACACACATGGCATGTATGCAAACACACACTGCTTGCTGTGTTGGGGCAGGTTCTGCGTGATAGGTAGTCGAGATGAGAGATAAGACAGCACATTTGGAAACAACGCTAACCAAGGACGAGCTCCAAGTGCATCTAAAGAGGGATATCAGTGCTGGTTCATCCGTGCAGTGATCCAGTTGTGCCGTCTCTCTGCTGCAATGGGACTAAACGGCGTTCACTGCGTGTTCCTCTAAGCACCAAAATACCTTCAGCAGTAATGTCTTTGTTTAGAAATCATGACCCGTATACTCTCTGCTGTCTACACCCACCAAAGCAAGGAAGTGTGCAGCTAAAATTACTGCAGTTTTATGTAGAAGGCATCCTTCAGCGTCTGCGCCATCGTGCTTTCTTAAAACTATCGTGCACGCATTTACTCCTCAGTGTGCAGCGCGGGGGTATTTCTGCCCAAATCTTTAATCCGACTGAGTCGTTTTCACTGCTTAAACCAGGAAATAAAAGAAACACAGATTTCAAAAGTTCCCTTTGACTTCTTTTGGTGCTGCTGAGTTTGTCGCCCTTCACGGGGGGACCGTTATCACCTAGCGTCTGATAGCACCACAGCTGTGACTCTGAGCCTCTCGCCGTGGAGCAATGCACGTTTCCTTCTCCACAGCGATGCGATTGCAGGATGTAATTCCAACATGGAGCTGCCCTCAATAAGTTTGGTAGACTTTAAGTCGTCAGGTCATCATTTCTGGACTTTGCTGTGTTTATGATGTTTGGTTTTTTGGCCGTTGCACGCCACGTGGCCGTTCACTTTCACCACATTCAAAGAGAAGGCAGACATCTTTACAGCGGATGGTGTAACGATGCTACGGGCCATAGGGAAGCTTTTTATGTAATGGCACAGTCATGGAAACAACAGTCCGAAAACATGTTGTAGGTTACCAGATCCTTCTCTTTGAAGTCAGCGGGTTTGCATTCATGTCCTGAGTTCATGTGAGATTTAGACTTTTTCCAGTTCGGCTTCATGTACGTCAGTAAATCCCCCGCTGGTGAATATGAAGCTTGTTGGGCTTATTGGCTCTATTCTTCACGCAAAATTATAAAAGTGGCTCCAGTTTGTGGGGATTTTGTTGAAAAATATAAATATCACAAACTTTTCTTTCCTTTTGTGCAAAAATGCAAAATCAGCTCATGATTAGCCTGCAGAAACAACCAAAATGTGCACAGCTTTCAGGGTAAATGTTCATTTCATATTTGATTTACTTGCTCCGCTCATATTTTCCTTTCTTTTGACTCAAATTAATATTTATAAAGTGATCATCAGCCACCCTGCTCCCTGAGCCTGGTTCTGCTGGACGTTTCTTCTTGTTGAAAGGGAGTTTTTCCTCACCACTGTCGCCAGGTGCCTTGTAATATGAAGCACTTTGGCTGCTGCAGTGATTTAAATTGAGCTGAACTCTCCTGCTGTTCCTGTAAATCAAAGACTGCCCTGTTTCAGACGCTGTTTACACAAAAACAGGATGTTTGGACGCCTTCCCGGGGTCAGAGCAGCTGTGATTTTCTCTTTCAAAATCAAATCATTTGTCAGCCCCTCAGATTAATTATCTAATGTTCAGCCGGAGCTGCATTTCCCTCTTTGATGGGAGGCAAAACACTCAAAAGAAAGCGACTCCTGGAATCCCTCCTGGTGCCTCGTGTCGCGTTAAACAAAGGCCGGTGAGTGTGTGATCGGGTTTTTTGCAGGGTTTTTCTTGGCTCCAGCATGTAAAGAAAATGTAAAGGAGGGTGTAATGCTCTCCCAAAGCTGCTCATCTGCTGGAGCGCTCAGCCCCGTCCGCTCTCCCCTGCAGGAAGGCTAATGACAGACGTGTAAGTAGGCAGCGTGACCTGTTCTGCTGCACATGGAGTTTATTTGCTGCAGCTTCCACCTTCTGCCCCCGCGGCACAAATACGTCTGCGGCGCTCCGGCCCAGGGAGCAGCAGCGATCTGACAAGCGGCGCAGACCTAATCCAGGCCAGGTCTGCGGCTGTGTTTGCTATGCATCCCCTAGGTCTGGAATAAATACAAGGCCGGTAAGCAGATCTGCCTGCCTGGACGACCGCAGGGGGAGCGCAGGGCTTTCCAGCCTTACGATACATGCCTTGACGGGATGTCTCTTATCCATATATGTAACCTCATAACACTCTGCGCTTTTCACAAATAAGAACGGCTTTGATCTCCTGTGGAAAGTAATGCAGTTTTAATGTCCAACTTCAAGGGCCATTAGTTGCATTTTTATCAGTTAGCGAGGCCGCTTGGCGAATTTCTGAATGTCGAGTGGAGCGGGTGTTGCTCGCCTAGAGGTTAGGGGAGCAGGTTTGTGATTGGACGGATGTCAGGTTGAGCTCCTCGCTGGGAAGAATGTGGGTGGGGAAAGCGGATGAGTAAAACTCTTCCCTCCCTGCAGCGCTGCAGCTGAGCTACCTTTGAGCAAGGCAGTGAACTCCCACCCCTCTGCTGCTTCAGAGGGTCAGAAGAAGGAAAACGAGATTATTCGAGGAGAATGGCATCAAGAGCCGCTTCGCCGACGCTCTCTGCGCGAGTTCAATCTCAGAAAAAGGAAAAAGAGTCGAAGTGAGGTTTCATGCTTTCAGTTTCAAACCCGTCAGGTGGGGCCGCCCCCCTCCCCGCCCTCTGTCTCTGCACAGGTAGAGCAGACCAGGTGTGCCTGTTTAAACTTGCTGTGTAATTTGTGGATTAGCAGATGCCTCTAATGGCTAAAGTCAGCAGAGCGTTCCCTCTATGCAGAGAGGAGGAGGGGAAGAAAAGGAAAAAGGGCAGAAGCTGAAAAGTTACTCACACATCACTTGTCGAATTTCTCGCTGCTTCACTCTGTCAATGTTCCTGCAGTGTCAGCACTTTAAAAAAGCTCCTTTTCCACTGTGTGTTCATCGTTTCACACGGAGCTGAGCGGAGGGACGTCAGCCTTCACGCTGCAGTCACAGGACCTGGACTTGTGCAGCTTCTGGCTAGTTTGTGGGTCCAGGTGTGGCCCACGACACACCTGATGTTTGGCACTTATCAGGTGGACTCGGGTGCAAAAAAGACTGAAAATCACTCATCCCCACATTTCCACAGATACGGAGACACAAAAAAGGACATTTCATGAAATAATTCAGTAGCGGTTTAGTTTAAAACATCTGTATTTAATGGATATTGTCCTGCAGGTGATGAGGTTTGCATCAGCATCATCATGTCACGTGACAGCGATGCGTACCACCTGTGCCGTCAGGTCAAGTTTCTACTGACGAGTTTTATTGGTGCAGTTTTGCTTTTCCCCCCTCAGCCTCAGTTACCTGCACACATGAGACCAGGTGAGCATTTCACCTGTGACTGTCTGCCTCCGTTACCCCAGTTATTAATTAATAGTAATAATAAATCATCAGAGGTTCTTGGAGGTAGTTTTAAATTTAAATCAGATTATTTGAGCCATCAGCTGATGCTCACTGGGTCGATTAGACCTCAGAAAAAGGAAAAATGTAAGAAGTGTTAAATATATGTAAAAAGGTGATCTCACTGTTGTTTATTTAGTAATTCCTCTGAGAATCACTGGCTGATGTCACTGGCTCACAGTCTCATGTTCATGAGAATATTTGCTCCTAAATGTTCCTACAGTGGCTGCTGGACATGGTTTAAATCTGGAGTTTACATGTTAAACTTGAGGTTACACATGTGTGTCTGCATCATACTGCAAATGTTTAGATTTTATTATGTTTTAAGAGCTGTGCTGTTTCCACTTTACCTTTAGGAAACCTCACCTGACGTTTGGCCCATATAAGCCACATTCTTTCAGTCCCACCAACATTTTGGCCCCAAATTTTCAAACTGTGAATAATCGCTGTGTGACTCTCCTCCCGCCCGCCTTCACACCTTTAGACAAAGCTTAGGTAATGATATGTTTTTGTTATTCTTTTTGATTGCACAGCATCTCCTGAAAACAGAAAAGCGCTGGACTGTACCGCAGAGATCTGCCGCCCCCGGCCCGAGGTGCACGTCTTCCTCCCGGTAACGCAGATTCGGTTTTCGCCATGTGCGGCGTCCCCCCCGTCGTCCTGAGAAACGCTTGGCACAGACACTTACGCATTCCTGACGGCACAAGGCATAACTTGTTACGGAGGCCGTTCACAGAGCTGCATTAAGGTGAATCCAGACGCGCACAGTGGGCTGTGTGCAGCGAGAGGGGCAGCGTTGATTTAGAGCATTACTCAGACGGAGAGGGGAGAGAGGGGAGAAAGGGAGAGTCTCCCCTGACTGCATTAGGAGAGCCTCCAGCCTTTGTGATTCCTTTTGATCAAATCTCTGTGAAAGATGAGTGTCATGCCCTCTTCCAGCCAGCTGTGAGGGGACTGCCCTGTGACTCTGAGGGGGGAGGCGTGTGTGTGTCTGTGTGTGTGTGCGCACATGTGTGAAAGAAAGGCATGCGCACCTCTGTGCGTGCACGTGTGTGTGTGTGTGTGTGTGGGGGGGGGATTGGGAGGGAGCAGCTCCTGAGGTGAGAATGCCGAGTAGGAGGATCTCATTCCAACACACCGTCACACTCACACACCACACACACACTCACACACACTCACACACACACACACACTCACACACACACACACTCACACTGAACATCTTGAGTAGTTTAGAGCGAGTCCAGCATTAGAGGAGAGAAAGCAGAGGAGGCGTGTGTGTGTCTGTGTGTGTGCAGTGAGAGTAAAAGCACAGGGACTTCTTCTTCTTCTCTCTGTTTTTTGTTCGAGTGGTGGCGGCTGTGTGTGTGTGTGTGTGAGGCAGAGGAGCACATGTGTGTCTGCTGTTGAAGGAGACGCTGCTGGGTGTGATGGCTCTTTCGCGTTAGTACTTGTGCGGACAGGAGAGTTGGAGGCAGTTGTTTTGTGGGACTCGCAGGGAATGGCAAACTCGGCGGTATCCCTGGAAACATCCGACTAATGACAATGGCTGAGGTAAGAGCGCTTCGCCGCCGTCCTCTGTGTGCCGCGGCTCGTCTCGCACATCATCAGGACGCGATTAACAAAGACGGGCTGGATGGAGTTGTGCCGACTCTGGTGACGGGCGCGTTGGGTTGTTGAATGTAGACGTTCAGCGTGTCCTGATCCTGTTACTGATCGGGCAAAAACAGAAAGGTGGTCTCGAGCTGATATTTAGGGTTTCTGTTATCACACGGGCTCTGTGTGGATTTTTGCACTTTACTCCTTCAAAGTAAAGAATTCATGCCAGAAAAACTTTGTTTAAACTCCTTTAATAAGTTTAAAAATGTGAAAATGAGCAGCTGTGCAGGCGGAGAGTTTAAATTCACATAAAGAGGATTTTAAAGTTTTTGAAACTTTCTTTCGTGGCATGTGTGCATCTCTGACTCGCTCTCAAACACTTTGATGGAGACGTTATGTTTATTCACTCCGGTCACCGACAATCCAAAGAGTCGAGTTCTGCACTTCATGAAACATGATTCACTTCTTTATTTCGCCGTTTCTTCCTCTGAGATAATATTCTGCATTCGCCTTTTTCTCTTCTTTGAATTTATTCTAAGGTGCTTGATTTGTGAGGCGCTGAGAGGCCTGTTTGTGTGTCTGTGGGTTTGTTTGCAGAGTGGCGTGGCCTCTCGCTGCCTCTCGCTGCCTCTCGCTGCCGGCCGGGTCCTCGCGGCCGCAGCCTGTCGGAATGTAATTTAAGAGCCGCCTAATGTTTTGTTGCAGCCATCATGTAACAATTAGCTGAGCCGTCTGTGTGGCGGCGGCGGTGGCGGTGTCGGTAGCAGCTCTTCACGCCTGTGTGTGTGTGTGTGTGTGTGTGTGTGTGTAAACTGTTTAAACAGCGTGTGTTTATGCCCCGTTAGCGGTTTCACTTACACACTGGTGTGTGTGGAAAACAATAAGTGAGCGTGGAATAACTAACTGTTATCAGCTGAACTGTCTGACCTCATGTTTGAAATACGTTGACATAAATCAGCTGAGATCTGAGGACACAATCAGTCGTACACAGGATAATCAAGCAGCCTTTACGCCTCTCGAAGGTGTGAGGAGCAGATTTACAGCTGCGACCTTCTCGTTTTGTTTTACAGCAGAATAAAAAAGTGGAAGACAAATAAAAACTGTAAGAATGTAAATTCTTAGTAAATTACACTCATCGTGTCATTGTGTTTGCGTCCACACTTTGTTCCTCTAACAGGTTGCTTTTCTGAGGAGGCCATTACGCCGAGGCAGCGATTATTTGTGCGTGAGGCAGAAATGCGAGTCGATCGGCCCTCGGTGGCTTTTCCTCTCGTCCTCTCTTTACCTCCACCTTTGTTTCCCTCTGTAGCTCCGCTGCTTTCTGCGGGTGTCTGCTCTCCTCCAGCGCTGCAGGGCAACAGACAACGATTCACAGCGAGTGCCCCGGCCTGTTTTTATAGGGCTGCACTTTGCTTTGTGTGTCTTTATATATAAATGTGTGTGTGTGTGTTCCAGCCTCATCAGCTTCATTAGCTTCACGAGGGTCCATCCGTGAGAGGATGAGGGGCGGGTGGGGTATCTGTGTGTATCTGCTCCAGCCTTTTACCCCCTTCAGCGTCTCCTTGAGCTGCGATCCGCCCCTCGTGGCCCCCGTCCTGCCCCCCTAACACACACACACCGCCCCGTGCTCTGCGCTGCCACCAAAAGGCTTGTGAGGATTTGTCAGCCAGATGTGACAAGATTGTCAAGAGGCGGCGAGGAGAGAGGGAGATCTGATATTAATCAGAGCGTAGCTGGGAGCCAAACTCCCTCAGACTCGGTGTACTAACATGTTCCCCTCATTTACTCGCTCTGCGAGCCAAACACTCCCTACGAGTTCCTAACGGGGAGCCACGAGCTCCAGGAAGCCAACCAAACTTTGGCTCGCCTCCTTCTCCTTCATCTCTTTGTCTGCAAAGAGGCCGCTCTTCTCCTCCTCTCATGGATCTGCAGGTAAAGATCTTTTTTTTGTCTGCTCCAGTGTTCAAACATGCGCTGCATTCATGTGTGTGATTGATTGCTGGATGAGTTTGAAATAACGAGTGTTTCACGCTGTCTTTGGGCTGTATGGAGTCCTAATAGGCTCAAACGCAGCCTGTCACTACTTGCACTCGCCCGGGCTTTTCCCGGGTTTGTCTCCTCCTGCTCGGGACCGGCCGCCGTCTTCCACAAACACTCTGCTTTCATTTAAGGGAATTTTAAAAGCTGTGCTGATGTGCAGTCCACCCTGCGAGGAGGCTGGACGGTCGGACAGCTGAGGGTTTGTTTAAAGTTCACATTTTTGGTTGTTCTGGGTGATTTTGTTTTTTTAATTTCTTATTGTCAGCTGCTTCCTCGGAGCAGGGAGACGAAATCAGAAGCTCGTGTATCCTAACCTCACTGCAACTAACGCTTGTCATCAATAAAGACTCCTGGCTGTCTCACACACACACACACACACACACACACACACACACACACACACACACACACACACACACACACACACTGTGTCCGTGGTGAGGTCAGGTGAAGCTGCAGGTTTTGGTGCTGTGTTGGTTTCACTGGTGGGAGATAAGCCAGCGGTACCAGGAGCACGGTCCTCCCTCCGAATTCCTGACTGATACTGTGTGTGTTGGCTTCTATCAAATATTCATTGCTCTGTGTGTGTGTGTGTGATTTTTATTAAACATGCATGGATGCTGCTGGTTAATTTCAAAGTAAAACTTCACAGTTTTCTCAATGAACAGAGTCGCGTTGGTCTCAGTTTTTAGTGATCAAACTGCTGCGGTGTCATTTTTCTCCTTCATAACTTTAATGTCTGAGAGATAAAATTATATTTGAGCATTTCTGCAGTTTTGTGAGCGTTTTCTGTTTGAAGGAAAATGTCGTGTTTGGAGAGAAATTCTTACTTCGTCTGAAAATCCAAACTGGAAAATTTAATGATGTAAAACAGAAAAGTGAAAAAGAAATTCTCATGCCATCGATCTGTGGATCAGATTTTTTCTGCTCGGATAAACAACATCAGTCATTTTAATTTGAAATAAAAATCCAGTGACTGTGTTTCGTATTAAACGGCATTATTAATTTTATGAAGAGATCAGTTATAAACCAGACAACAGGTTTGAGGAGGATTTACTCGTGTTTTTACATTTTGTCTCTCATAATGAATAAGTGTCAGTAAATCGTGTTTTGGATGTTTGTTGGCGCTCGTGATAAATCCTAAAAATAAGAATAATAAATGGTCTTTCTTTGATTTGTTGTTTCCAGCGTGAAGAGGAGAAATACGTTCTGGCAGCTCTCGGTGGGCTCAGCGATGTTTTCGCCAAGAATTTATCAGTTTACACAAAAAAAGTAAAGCTGAGGGATATCTGTGCCGAATCACAGACGATTTCTTCATGCACACTTCCTGTTTTTATCCCCTCTGTGTAATTGTCGCGTTAACTGATTAATGGCTGACAGTAAAATGTGGTCCCTCGCACTTGGCCGTCAGTCTCTCCCTTTTCCTCGCGGCTCTTTGGCAGCAGTCAGAGTCGAGCGAGCTGCAGCTAATTGATTAGTTTTCCAGCGCATTAGTCCAATGTGTCCCCGTCCATCCCCGCACGGCCCACGTCCAAGCAGCTGTTCGCTCCCGCGAGTCTCCGAGGACGCGGACATATTTTAAAGAGTTTATTTTAAACGCCAGAGAGGACGATGTCATTTTCTTTCTCTTTGTGTGTGTGGCTGCAGCAGCGGACGCACACATCATGTTCCAGCTTCTTCTTTTCTCTCTGCGTCTGGCCTTGAAGCCGTGTTTGTGTTTTATTCCACGTCTTTTTAAGACGCGGTGGAGCGAGAAAGCAGATCCGATCACCAGGAAGCAGCTGCGTTTAAAGCTTTTAATAATTCTCATAAAAGTGTCAGTCTTTGTAACGGCGGCGCAATAACGTGCGCAGGTTAACCTGAAGCCAGTAAAATCCAGTGAACCCCGCTGCTGAGCGTGGAGAGATTTCACATCGTCAGAGTATGGATGCTGTTTTATGGCATACTTACCTCCACCTCCTCCTGCTCCTTCTTCTTCTTCTTCTCTCACTTTTGTCTTGTCCTGGCCTCACCTCCTCGGCCTCCACGGCCTCCTTCCCACACACGGCCTCAAACTAAATGCTGAAACAAACCGGAGAGACGGCGTCAGAATCAGAACGTGCACGCCACGAGGCTCCATCTGTTTTCACGTTAAAGATGGAAGCGCAAACATGTCATACGAATGTATACAGAGAGAACCAAGGCTGCATCGCTTCCTTTGATTCTGCATCATTCATGCACCTGTTTGTTTAATCAGCAGAGCTGAGGTGTCATCACACGACCTCGGGATACCTGAGATGTGGAGCAAAGCTCCGAGAGTGGAAGTGGATTTTTCTGTGAATGAGAGGAACTCGCATTAAAGTGTTCACGGTCGCTCACCCGGCACAGTGAAATGAATGCGTCCCCTCCTGACGACAGCGCGCTTTCGTTTTGTCGTTTATTCGATGCCCCGTGCTGTCACGGTGCTAATCGAAGACGTGTAACGTGGCGGAGGAGGCGGAGGCGGGGGGTGGGGGTTACACTGTTGTACGATATAAAGAAAGTGACACCGTGTTAACTTTAGCTTGAAGAAGTCTGACGGGGACGCATCATTTTGTGCAATTAGTCTTCTTGTCAGCGGCGTCATTGATGCGTGCGAGCAGCTGCCGCTTTGTTGTGACAACAGCAAAGAGAAAGGGATGGTTGCGGCGGCGGGGAGGGGGGCGGAGAGTTGGTGGGTTCTTCTCGGTCACTGAGAGCGGCGGTAGCAGTGGCCTGCCCCGCGCTGCCATATTTCCTCCTCCACCTCTCCTTCTTCTTCTCAGGAACTCATGAAGTGACTCGCTAATTAAGATAAACGACTGCAAGCACTGGAATGTGTGTGTGTGTGTGTGTGTGTGTGTGTGTGTGTGTGTGTGTGTGTGTG